CCAGATACACCAATTTATTTTTACTCTTAAGGTCATTTGAGGATCTGTTCCTCAGTGGTCACATGGGCTTGGGAGGAGCCCATCTCCCTTTTTTTTACCAGTTCCACCTATGTGAAGATAAGTCAAAGGTCCTACTCGACCACGGTTGGCTTCGATTGGAAGCATAGAGGAAGTGATTCCTCTGTGTTGACCCTCCTTTTTATAGACTGGATACTGGTTCAAGTGCATCTGGTGGGGTCTACTTGGCCTCCTTGATCAAGAGGACAGGACACCCACCACCATTCCAGGACATTTTGAGAGATGCCCATAGTCCCATGGAACTAGTCGACCTAGGAGGGCAAGAAGCAAAAAGTGTCCTTTATGACCTTCTGAACAAATTAGTATAAGCCTCAAAGTATGTTTATTAAACATCCAAGAAGGTTAGTTCCATCAGTCTGCTACATTTAATTACTGTGTGTCATGTAGATAAATCTTGGGCAAAGACCAATTGTTCTCAGATAAACCTTACCTAGATGATATATTCCTTGAGCTAGTTGTATGTATAATTTGTCAGTAGGTTGTTGGACTAATATGGGTCCCTCTTTTTTTTTTTAACTAGCTAGGCATTATTTATTCCTCTCATTGTCTGACCCTTCCACCATGGTTTCCCCAGTTAAGATCCCCCCATTTTTCCAATTTCTCCCTTAATAATACCCTTCTCTTATGGTCCTATCTCTCTTGAGCTCTGTCTTTCCTTTTATCCCCAAGGTTCCTTGCATAACCTTCCCTCCCCGCTCCCCTTAGAATTTAATTTTTAATCCATATCTCCTTTATTAAGGCCTGTTTCCTACTGTTCTTCTCTTTCAGATTCTTTCTTTTCCTTTAATTTCCTGGTTCCTTTCCATTATCCTGGTTCCTGTAGTTATGTCTGGATACATACTCACTTATCAGGATTTGGTTCTAGGATCCACATATGAGGGAGAACATAGGTCGATTTTTTTTTTCTGAGTCTGTTACTTCACTTAGTATAACAGTTTCTAGTTCCATCATTTACCTGCAAATTTCATGATTTCATCTTTCTTTATTGCTGAATAAAACTCCATCGCATAAATGAACCTAATTTTCATTATCCACTTGTCAACTGAGGGACACTTAGGTTGCTTCCATCTC